GAACCAGCAGCAACAAAATCATCATAAGACACCTAACAATAAAAGGACAGAAGAAGTTATTATGAAATGCTTTAGTTCCAGTAACATTATTAAATACTTCAAAAATAGCTAAAATGTTTTAATAGTTATTTACATCTTATACAGAAAATATAAAATTAGCACTCCATCATTTTCATTGGTTTTAGATGAATGAGTTTACGATATTAACAGGTAGACACTGTCTTGAATATTGAACAGAACTTATATAGAACTGGGTCGTTTAAAGCTCACTTCTATTGAAGTAATTAAAATCAATTGTTTAATCCAATAAAATAGCTATTGCCAATAACATGTCAAAGTGAGTGCTCCTCCACAGAGTATCGTCAAGGCACTTTAACTGCCAAAGATGATGCAATTCATGCTCTCATGTGAGGCACGTTATCATCTATAATGGAAAAGAGACAATTTAGTGTAGTCACTGGGGTACAGTGTGCCCAAGGCATCATGAAAAGAGTATCGAATACTTTTACAATCCTTTTAACATTTATACTTTATATGTCGAGGGCTCATTTTGTTGTGACCATATAGTTCTTCAACAAGATGCTTGGGGTTGCAGGGCTGAGAACAGCCAGGAATTCGGTCTCACGGAAAGTATATTGCAGATTAAATCTAGTGATGAGGAAAAATAATGGTACTTTGGTACAAATGCTATGCATGTTAAAAAACTATCATGAAATTAATAGGTATAAAAAATAAATAAAAAGGGGAAAAAAAAAAGGAAAATTTGTAAAGAAACCTTATATTGTGAGGAACCATGCACAAAATTATGCATTTCACTGTGCAAAGAAAACCATAACCTATTTCAGGTATTGATGAGTTTTCAGTTTAAGGAAGCAGAGCTCCATTCACAATTTTAAAATTCTAGTTGTCTTTAAAAAGAAAAATATTTATGCATATTAGGAGACCCATTTAAAGAAGAGGAAAGATACCCTTGCAAAGGTTCTTGAATCTTTTTCAATCTTTTAAGTTTCTTTTATTTTTTCTTATTCTTAATAAACTTTTTATATATTTTTTTTTTACAGAAAACCCAATTAGTCAAATACACATGGAGAGGGGCAAACAAGAAAATCAAATAATTGAATTATTTCAACCCCTAATGCAACCACTGGAAAGTTTTTCACTGTATTTTATATCAATATTTTTAAAGTGGATAAGAACCAAGACAAAAACTCCATGATTAACAGAGTTGCATTGAGCACAGTTTCCTGAATATCAGTTTTATCCCATCTTCTCATAAAAAAATATATTATATCATCCCATACAAAACTAATATAACCAGTTATAAAGAGAATTAGAAGTTCAGTTTATGATGCTTACTGTCTCAGCTCGAATGAAACCTTTCTCAAAGTCAGAGTGGATGACCCCAGCAGCTTGAGGTGCAGTCATTCCTAGATCAACACAGAACAAGAATCAGAGAACAACATGATATGATGAACAAGTAGTCCATCATACTTCCTAACCTATCTAAGTTTACTTCTGTTTGGACCTAAATTCTTCTCACCTACGACCATCAGTAAAACAAATTCCACATAAACAAGTTCCCAATTATGATATAAAGAACAGCATAGCCTATGTTAGCACTTGCTTGAAGCATTTCAAGGTCCACTCAGAGGTATTTTACCATCTCGGTAGTATAATACACAATTTACATTCAGCATAACCAAAGCTCACCTGCAAGTATGGTCCATGCTTTTGTTTCCTGTGTACAACATAGGAACAATCTTTTAAAACAAATGGAATATATATGTACACACACATATACAACATCCAAAAGAGTTCACAAACTCATCCTTCTCACCTTCTCTCCAGACGTAAAGTAAGTACGGAGCCCCAAGACGCCATATGTTGCTCTGATAAGGTTCCCAAGACCACTTTCACTAACACCAAGAGATTCCAAAAATTCTGTTCTTTCTTCATATGGTAGTTCCGTAAGCTCAGACTCGACCTGCAGGTGCAAACTTCCATAACTAAGGCAAACAAAAACAGTAGGAACACAAATCTGCTAGTCTCGAACAAGGTTGCATTAATCCCCATCAAACATTACAAGCAGAGAGGCAGGCAC